CACACTTGTTTTGGTTGACATAGTCTATTACACATATGTAGCATGATGGGTAGCACAAGCATATAAAATACAATTCTTATTATCTCTAAAGTCTTATTAACCCAGTCAAGTAAATCACATAAGTAGATGTTTGCGTTAAAACAGCAGTACTTACTCTACAAAAATCCTATGATTTGCTTTAACAAGCCAAAAGTGTGCCTTCTAGCCAGGCTGGAGGTGAGGTGCACTGCTTGTAATCCCAGCACTCTGGGAGACTGAGGCAAGAGGATTACAAGTTCGAGCCTAGTTTGGGCATCTAAGGCCAAGTGATTCAGCTAGACCTTGCCTTAAAAAAGTAAAAAGGGCTGGGGATACAGCTAAGATTGAAGGCCCTTAATTCAATCCTCAGTCACCCCCATCCACCTGAAACACATGTCTTCCCTTTGGATCTATTTCTAGCCTGTTATTTCTTTGTTTACAACACACAACTTCTGATAGGATGGAAAATCTACTCAAGAAATTCTCTAAATCAATCTCATATTTTAATTCCTGGGTCTATGCACTCATCACAATCATCCTGTTCCAGTGTTTTTATTTTTCTGTTTCTCTTTCTGTTAGTATTTTCCTATAGGTTTATAAAAGTATTCTGGGATACACTGATTATGAGTAAGAAAGATATATCTGTATGTATTTTCTCTGATCAGCTGCAAAGACGAGAGAGAGAGAGAGAGAGAGAGAGATAAGCTTTAAAACAGGCCTAAAACTAATAGAGGAAATGTCTTCAAGCTGATAAAGTGCTCTTATGAAAAACAACAGCTTGTATCATACTTAATGAGAAGTGCTTTCCCCTTAAGATTGGGAACAAGGTGAAGAAAAATGTCACTTCCTTGTTATTTCTACTCAGTACTATGCCAGAAACACTAGCATGCACAATCAAGGGAAAATAGAGTAAAACAGAAAGTAAAGGCTTTTAGATTGAAAGGAAGCAAAACTATAGACCACAGGATTCTGTGTGTACAAAGTCCTAAGGAATTCATATGCAAAGAAACAAAACAAAAAAACCTGCCAACACTAACAAAAATGAATTCAGCAACGCTACAACATACAAGATCAATTGTACAGTCATCATGGCTGGACATGGTGGCATTTGCCTGTGATCCCAGATATGTAGGGAGCTGAAGCAGGGAACTAACTCCAAGTTTGAAGCCAGCCTAAGCAACTTAGCAAGATCCTGTTTCAAAATAAAAGTAAAGTTAAGAGAGGGTTGCAATATAGCTCCGTCAGTTTGATTTACAGAGCAAACAAAACAAAATACATGTACTATATTAAAAGATGATCAATAGCATGTGTTTTAGAAAGCCTTCAGCTGCCAATAAACTATATTTAAAAAGTATAAATAGTACATTTGTTATGCATACTTAATCCCTTTATTTTTCCTCCAAAGGTGGAGAAAAAAATCACAAAACAGAACAAAAATACAAAGAAAAGTCTAATGGGGTCTTAGATGGGGTCTCTGGGGATCCTTATCAAATAATTAAAGAAGAAATAACACAGTTTCACATAATCTCTTTCAGAAAACAAAAGGGAAGATGACACCAGTTTATGAGTTCAATTTAAATGGATAATTAAAGGCATCACAATTTATTTCTTGCAGAAAATGCATTACACATTAATGTATAAACAAAAAGGTACTGGGGACAAGAAGTCTTGAGAATTTGAACTTTTTCCAATCTAAACTTCATTAACAACTAGTTGTGTCATCTTTTTAAAATTACATCACCTTGATGGGTGTGATGGCTCACACCTGTAATCTTAGCACTCTGGGAGGGTGAGGTAGACTAGAAGGATCCTGAACTCAGGCCCAGCCTGGGCAATGTAGCAAATTAGTGAAATCCTGTCCAAAAAGAACCAATAAAAAACCAAACAACCAACCAAAAATAACTGGGAATGTAGCTCAGTGCAAAGCACCTTGATTCATTCCTTATTGTGTCTGCGTGTTTGTGTGGTGGTGAGTGGCATTCTGTATCACACTGTTGGACTTGGGTTTCTTCCTTAATAAAGTTCGCTAAAGAAATCCTTTTAATCTATGTGATATTCATTCTATGTTACATTTATGCTATAAAGCTTTATTTAATACTTCGCTAGGGGGTGGGATACAGCTCAGTGCCCACCTGGTAAGAACCAGGTCCTGAGTTTCTCTACTGGTGGAAGGAAGGAAGGAAGGAAGGAAGGAAGGAAGGAAACCAAGACAGACAGACAGACAGACAGACAGACAGACAGACAGAAAGAAAGAAAAGGAGCCAGTGACTTAGCTTAGTGGTGCTAAGCTAAGCACCTGCCTGGCAAGCATGAGGTCCTGAGTTCAATTCCTGATTAAACACTACCTCCCTTACCTGCCAAAAAAAATTCCCATCTGGTCATGGTGGTACATGCCCATAATCCCAGCACTTGGGAGGTTGAGGCAGGGAGGACCACAGTGAGTTCAAGGCCTGGCTGAACTACATAGTAAGACACTGCCTCCAAAAAAACCAAAGAACAAAAAATAAGAAACTCTCCAATCTTAAATTGGTGTAACACTTTGGAAAAAAATATGGTAATATATATTAAGACAATGCATATTCTCTGGTGAAGTAATTTAATTTTTGGGTATTTAAAGCTGCGGCAGGAGGATCATTGTAAGTTCCAGACCAGCCTGGGCTACAAAATGGGCTCAAGGCCATTTTGAACTGCATAGCAAAACTTTCAGAAAGCCTAAAAACAAACAAACAAACAAAAACCACACAAAACAAAATAAAACCCTGCTATTTAGCTTAAGAGTATAATTCAACCAAAAGTGAGAAAACACACAAAAAGCCACTGCAACAAATAAAATTGCCCAACAAAAGTAGAATAAGATAGTAACCCACAAGGACAGCACAGGCTTGTATCTGTAATCCTAGCATATGGGAAGTTGAAGCAGGATTGCTGTGAATTTGGGGCCAGCCTATACTACATAGTGAAATACTGTCTCAAAAAGTCAAAAGCCACAATTCTTAAATTGGCAAAAGCTAACATGAAGATGATTGTAGAAAACATGTTTTGTGTGCAAAGGATCAGAATGTAAATCATTCTGATTATGAAAATGTATACAACATGTCAAAAGATTATTTGCATTAATGAAAGTATTGTAAGGGCTGGGAGCAGTGGCTCACAACTATAATCCCAACTATAGTACTCAGGAGATTGAGGCAGAAGGATTGCAGATCTGCCCAGGTTGGGCAGACTTAGTGAAAACCTGTCTAAATGAAAACAACAACAAACAAGGGAGAAGAGGGTCAGAGAATTTAGTTCAGTGGTAGAGTGCACTCATAAAGTATTACCTTTTGTGAGTGTTTTTAACTACAAAATCTTTTTAAATGTTCATTTATGATATATCCAATGAAGAAAAATGAGATAAAAATAATAGGAATAGAGATAACAAAGGTCACACGGATACAGTTCTAAATTGTTTTGGCTTGATTTCTGCTAAGAGTGGTCACAGACTCAGGTTTCTCAGTAGATATTTCAGAGTCATTAAAACTTTGATCAGTTTACTTCAACAGTATTTTTTTATCTACTGATTATTAAGCAAAGTTTGTGATTCTAAAAAGTACCCACTAAAATCTAGATATCAGCTGGGTGTGGGCGGTGGCTCACCCCTGTAATCCCACCAATGGGGAGGTTGTGGCAGAAGGATCCTTGCAAGTTTAAGACCAGCCTAGGCCACAAAGTGAGCTGAAGGCCAGCCTGAACTGCACAGACAGACCCTGTCTAAAAAAAGAATGAATGAATGAAAGAAAGAAAGAAAGAAAGAAGAAACCTAGACATCACACTGGATAGCTCAAAGTCGTCGTGCCTGGCTATTTCACTTATCACCCTAATTGTAACCCTAACTTGAAAGTTTTCGAACTTAAAATTTCTTAAAAGGCTGGGGTGGGCGGGATATGCAGTAGCTCAGTGCTAGAACAGTTGCCTGTGGCATGTGAGTCCTTATGTTTAATACCTAGTACTGCCCCCTCCAAAAAATTCCTCAAGCAGCCGTCATTTTCAAGTGTCATACACAAAATTAAATGAATTATACAACCACTGAAGTTCCACTCTTAACTATAGGTAGTGCAGGGAAGGAAATCTTGCTTCTTGATTTTTCTTCCTATTCCTATGGCTTCTGGCTAGAATGAGAATTTCACCAGGATCCTTCTCATTATTTGTAAGGTCAGTAAGGAAAATATTTGGTAATGCTACCATGCACAACTCTAAGGTTCAACCTTATAAAATTATTTCTATATGTCCAGAAAAAAGTACTAGCAGCAGCTTTGCTTGTTTCACTAGTGGCTATGCCAACACCTTTGTTAAGAAAAATAGTAAATTTCTGTAAGGATATAATTTAATTACTTAAAAGCATTTAAGACAAGGTAAAGAACTTTACCAGTTTTTTTAGGTGCACTTTTAATTTGGTTTCCCTATTTCTTCTAAATCTACTAAACATCTTCCATCTAAACTTTGATCTTGACCACTTATATAGGTATTTAGTAATTTTTTCTTATTCTGAGTTACTCTTCCATTTAAATTTTTTGTTTCCTTTAAAGCTACAATCACTGATAAGAACCCCCTTTGTGTAATCTTCCCAATAATCAGTGCTCTCAGATTAAGTTATTATTTCCAGATCAGAATTTTAAGCAATTTCCTTTTGCATATTTCCATTAATATGTTAATGTCATAAAATCAAGAAGTGCTTAACAGCAGCAAACTAAAGAATACATACAAGATTTATTTCATCCTAACTCAAATATGCTGGGCTGGGGATATTAGTTCAGTGGCATAAGCACCTGCCTGCCAAGCTCAAGGGTACAGAGTTCAACTCCCGATATATAAAAACAAACAAACAAACAAACCATCTGCTTCAGTCCTGTTTCTTTCTACAGAATAGTTTGGATGCCAACGCTTTTAGAGCAATGCTGCTTCTGATTCCAACTGAAATCAGCCTCATTTCACGAACTTCTTACCTGAAACTACCGTAGACTATAAGAAGAATGGATATCAGAAATGTAGACACTTGACTGGAATCCACCAGGGAATAGGCCCTAGAGAAATAAGAAAAAAATTAAACCGTAAGTCCTCATGGGACTGACTTTATGTCTTTAAGGAAAAAGTATAAATTAACACTGCAGATAACAAAAGGAAACACGCTGGTTTAACATAAATGGATGAGTTCACAGCTAGTAATTCATCTCTGTGTGATATACAATGTATATTTACAAATTTCCCAATTTTAAAAGTATTAATATAGCTACTAAATTACACCCGTGACAGAAAGCCTCAATAGTTAAATTTTTATTAATTTACATTAGAATTGGCTAATAGTATTTTACTAAAATATCATTTCTATTTCTATGTCTATTGATTATATCTTATTTTGTTGACTCTCCAAAGCCAGCAGGTCTAAAACTAGTCATTATTCCTTCCTTCATATCTGATCTTCTTAAGAAATAGTTTTATTCTTGGCACTCACTTCTCTTGAAAGGGCAATTCCTTTTTTATTTTTTGGGACACTGAGAATCGAACTCAGGACCTTGGACTTGACAGGCAGGCACTTAGGCCCCTGGCACCCACTTCTCTTATTTCCCACACTGACAAGACTCAGTGAATCCTACAATTTCCATACCCCTGGCTCCTCTACATCTCCCAATCCTGCAGCTCCTTTTCAGGCCTGTGACTTTTGGAGACCTTATTTTCAAGTCTTATCTCTCTTTTTTTTTTTTTACCCCTGCCAAACAGTTTGTTTTGTCTAAAGTCATACAAGCCCCGGCCTCTTAATGTAGGCTCTCTTTTCATCTACTTTCTAAGTTCATAAAAACAGCCATGTAGATGTTTCAAAAATGTCCTAAAGTTTTCACTGCTGGTAAGATGGAGATGAACAAGGAGAAAGAAAAGCACTGCTCCTGAACTTCCCCTTTATTCTCGCTGCCCACACGGAGAATTAAGAAATTCTAACTGAACTATAAGAAAACAAAGTAAATGCATGCATTTAAGACACACCCAAATCAGGCTAGTCAAATATGCTTTAACAGAACTGAAGACTTGGCCAAATGATATAGAGGTCAGCTGTTGAGTTGAAATACTTTATACAGTCACCACTAATTTTTAAAATAATTTATTAATTTATTAGTATATTTGTGACATAACAATTACATTCATCATAGGGAATTTGTACCTGTATCTTAATTCTTTTTTCGTTTCCCTTCCTTCAATTCTCCATCCCCTCTCCACTTACAAAACTTTGTTCATTCCTTCCATTTTATTCTTTTCTATTATCCTATTCTTTTATTCTCTTCCTTCTTTTATTTTCTTACTCTTCCTTGTATCCCTTCCCATTTAAACATTTTCTCCTTACTTCCCAATATCTAGCCTCCATTATGGTTCTTAGCCCTTTGGGTTTCTCACACAAGAGAAAGAATACAGTATTTAAACATGTGTGTTCCACTTACTTCACTTAAAATTAAATTACTTTCTCAAAGTGCATCCATTTACCTAAAAATATATCAGGCTTATCCTTCTTGATGGCACAGTAGTACTCCACTGTATATAAAGTCATATTTTCTCTATCCACTCATCTGTTGATGGGCATCTGGGACATTTAATGAGATTTAGCTACTGCAAATTGTGCTGCTATAAGCATGAGTGTGCATATATTGCTGCAGTATGCTTTTAAGTCTTTTTGGGAAGGTATCTAGACAGAGAATGGCTAGGTCAAATGGAATCTCTAGTTTTACTCCATACTGATTTCCATGGTGGTTTTACCAGTGTACACTACTACCAAGAGTGGAGAAGGATTCCTTTTTCTCCACAGCCCCTCCCACATTTGTTTTTGGCTGGTTTCTTGAAGGTAGCCATTCTTTTTGGGATGAGATAGAATTTCAGTGTTGTTTGAATTTGCATTTCTTGAATGACCTGTGATGTTGAATATTTTTTCATATACTTATTTGCCATCTCTACTTTTTCACCTGAGAAATGTCTACTCAGATTCCCACTTTTAAATTGGATCTTTAAATTTGGAGGGATCTATTTTTTTCTTTTTATTAGTTCTTTACATATCCTAGATTCTTTACACTCCCTCAAGCTTTTCCCTTGGCAGACAAAGGCAAAACACTACTAGAAAATCCTCTCCTATGTTATTCATGCTAAGATGTTTAGAATCACACTGGATTTTAGTAATTATTTTCAAACATCTTACTTCTAGCTACTCTACCAGCAAGTGCTTATAATACATATCTTGCTTAAAACCAGACCAAACCGAGACACAGAAAGTACTGTTCTATAACATGTTCTATGTGTCAGCCTTCCAGTTACACAATGGAAGCATTCTTTTCTACTCAACTACCATTCCAGCCCTGAACAGATCCTGCCTTAACTCAGTATTTCTCAACATTTTTTGGTTGCAGGACCACTTACATTCTTAAATGGATGGCCTCTAAGAGCTTGTGTTCATGTGAATTACAGTGATATTATGTAATAGTAGAAATTTGAAGTGCCTTTACTTGTACCTGGGCTACAAATTAAAATTACATAACAGGGTCAAAAAAGTTTTTTTGACCTGAAATCTGATGTGCTTATGCGCGCACGCCTTTAATTTCAGTACTGGGAGGTTGAGACAGGGGGATCACTGTGTGAAGGCCAACCTGTGTTATCTAGTGAGATCAAGACCAGCCTGAAATAAAGAGTGAGACCCTGTCTCAAAAAGACAAAAAGACCAAACAAACAAACAAACAAAACAGTTGGGCATGATAGTGCATGCCTGTAATCATAGCACTGGGAGGTTAAGGCAGCAGGATTGCCACAGGCCTGGGGCCAGCCTGGGCTACACAATGAGGCCCTATCTCAACAAAAATAAAAACAAACAAAAATAGACCACACTTTGAGAACTGCTACCTTAGACCTTTAACCCAAGCCCTGGCTACACAAACCACTAGCACCTTTTCACATGTAATCCTCCTCAAACACTCATCACAAAATATCAAAAGGTATTTGAATATTTTTGCTGTCCAAGAGTTTTAGATTCAATTATACATAAAAAATGATTTGTATTCCAGGCTTACAAAGAAGTGCTGCTACAGTTTTCTACTTTATGCCCACACATTGTAATAGCACTGAATTTGTATTTTTACCCAAAAAAACTGTCTGCCATAACGCCCACAATACTATAATTCTCTTCTTTCCCATATTGTAAAGGGAAAAAAATTCCCTATGTTGTAAGGAGAAAACAAATTTAAATCATACTGTGTCACATAATGACACTGTAGTCACTGACAGCGTATGTGATAGCTTAGTGACACTGTAGTCACCTATGTGTAAGTATAACCTCTGATGTTCATTCAGTGACAAAATTGCCCAATGGTACATTTATTAGAATGCATCTCTGCTTAACTAAGCAATGTACAATTGTATGTTAAGACTGATAGTAACTGTCTTATCAAATATAAATTTGACACATTAAATTTAATCATTTATATGTAAGCCATAAAAAGTAAGTCATTTAAGTATGTTATGATCTAACAGAAGGACATAACATACAAGGTGGCAGAATGCAATGTTTTTATAGAGAAATAATGTACTGAGAAAAATGCTATGGGTTGTTACATACCAGGAGTCAGCAAATTATCACCTACTGCTAATTTCAATAAACACAGCCAAGTTTGTTCTTTAATATCTATGGCTGCCCTAGCACTTCAACAGCTGAGTTGAGTATTTATAACAGGTCATATGGCCCACAAAAGTCAGAATATTTACTGTATCTCGTCCTTTAGAGAAAAATTCTCCAACACTGCTGCATACCATTGCTTAATGTACAAAGGTACCCACCAAAGGCACTGGGAAGTGTTAAAGCACAGTCTACTCCTTCCTCCCAGGGGAAGGATGTTAGGTAAAGTTCAATGAACTTTCATGTTCTAATGAATGGGTTTAGTCGCCTGGAAGGAGGGCTAACTTTTCATTTTCACAAAGATGGTTTCTGTGATCTCTGAGCTGACTTGGCCAGAAGGGTTTCTTACTTTCCTATATAAGGTAGGCATGGCGGTTTTGTAATAGTCCTCAGCATCTCAGAGTCAGGCCATGAAGATAAGGCTGACTTTGAAATATCAAAATACTATTAAACTTTCACTGGTAACAAATAGTTTATTATTCTTTAGTACTAAGTATTTTACGGAAAGAACACAGATGAAATGTACCATATTTTAATAATTACATTTTAATAACATTAGTACAGTTAAAAATGATTACTTCTGGGGCTGGGGATTTAGCTCAGCGGCATAAGTGCCTGCCTTGTAAGCAGGCAGTCGTGAGTTCGATCCCCGGTACCAATTTAAAAAAGGAAAAAGACAAAAAAAAAAAAAAAAAAAGATTACTTCCATCAGAGATACTGGTGACCACGCAAATTCATATGAAAGGTCTTCAAGGCTAGAATCATTTTGTTTTCAGATATATTTTACCACCTTCAAAAGCAGGGTGATGAAAGAGAACTCATATTAAAGGTTTCTATTAGTATCCAATGCTTCAACTCCTTCCTAGAAAAACTCTGTTAAGTCCTAAGATTACAATTTCAATAATATTGAATTTTATTGTGATTTCAGTATGTGTCCAGCAACATAAACTATGACTCTTGGCTATAGTATAAATATTTACAAGGTAATTGGGTTTCTCAGTACATAGGTACAAGCTGGCGTGTAGTTTATTTTGCCAAGGGACTAGCTTACAGGACAAAATGTATCATGTGATTTTTGATGATACCTTTGTATCACTATTCAAAATAACGTAAGTACTTTAATCTCTTTTAAAAATGCAAAAATTTGTGTTAATATTTTTAATAGGATTAATGCTTCATTAAAGGAACTACTTTTAAATGTCTAAATGCCAACTCAGAATATATGCTCACAAAACTTAATAAAACCTAGATGCTGGGTGTGTAGCACATGCCTGTAATCCCATCACTGGGGAGGATGAGGCAGAAGGATCACTGTGAGTTCAAGGTCAAGCTGAGCTACGTAGTGGGTTCAAAACCAGCCTCCTGAACTACAATGCGGAGACCCTG